GTCTAATCCAGATGGAAAATATACAGTAAATGGCAGACCCCTTAAGAGAACCCTTAAGAAGCAGGGGGATCTGGGTGTACAGGTACACAGGTCACTGAAAGTGGCAATGCAGGTGGAGAAGGTAGTCAACAAGGCATATGGCATGCTTGCCTTTATCGGTCTGGGCATTGAGTTTAAAAATTGGCAGGTAATGTTGCAGCTTTATAGAACCTTAGTTAGGCCGCATTTGGAATATTGTGTTCAGTTCTGGTCGCCACACTACCAGAGGGATGCGGTGGCTTTGGAGAGGGCACAGAAGAGATTTACCACAATGTTGCCAGGTATGGAGGGCATTAGCTATGAGGAGAGGCTGGAGAAACTTGGGTTGTTCTCACTGAAACGACAGAGGTTGAGGGGCAATCTGATAGAGGTCTACAAGATTATGAAGGGCATGGACAGACTGGACAGTCAGAAACTTTATCCCAGGGTGGAAGAGTCAGTTACCAGGGACCATAGGTTTAAGGTGCGAGGTGCAAGATTTAAAGGTGATGTATGAGGCAAGTTTGTTACACAGAGGGTGGTGGGTGCCTGGAACTCGGTGCTGGGGGAGGTAATGGAAGCAGATACGATAGTGACTTTTAAAGGGCATCTTGACAAATACACGAAAAGGATGGGAATAGAGAGATACGGTCCCCGGAAGGGTAGGGGGTTTTAGTTGTGATGGGCAGCATGTCGGTGCAAGCTAGGAGGGCCGAAGGGCCTGTTCCTGAGCTGTAATTTTCTTTGTTCTTTGATCACTAGAGATTGTACTGAAGTGATTTTTAGTGAGTTTTGGTGATAAAGAAAGATCGGTGGGCTGGGATTGTTTCCTTTGGAACAGAGGAGGCCAAGGAGAGATTTAATTGAGAACAAAAACAGAAGTTGCTGGAAGGTCAGCAGGTCTGGCAGTACCTGTGAAGAAAAAGTCAGAGTTAACATTTCAGGTCTGGTCACCCTTCTGAGGAATATTAACTCATTGTTTCTTCACAACTGCTGCCAGACCTGCTGAGCTTCCAGCAACTTCTGCTTTTTGTTTCTGATTTACAGCATCCACAGTTCTTTTGGTTTTTATGTAGAGATTTAATTGAGTTGTACAACATCATAAGACCTGAGAATGGTTAAGATGAACCTGCTCTCATCAGCAGAGATTAATAACTGCGGCATAATTATAAAGTATTGGTGGAAGTATTGGAGGGATGTTGAATGTTATTTTTCTTCAGAGGATGGTGGGTGTCTGGAATTCACTGCCTGGAAGAGTGACAGAGACAGAAACACTCGTAGTCTTTTAAAGATATACATGAATACGGACTTGTGGTTCTCCAATCCATAGGGGTAACTGACTGAGAGGCGAGGATATATTGGATAGTTTCTGTTCAGTGTGTGGGCAGACATGATGGGCCAAATAGTCTCCTTTGTGCCATAAATCTTTAAAATTTCCATGTTTCGGACTCTCACAAAAAGATCTGCAGTGTCAGGGCAGGACAAAAGCAATTCTCGGCTGTGAAGCTGATTATGAGCCGGAATTCTATTAGGATCTTTCCAGGCAGAGGCAGGTCACATCTGTAATATCTGCCATTCACTCCTACATCAGAGTGGTGGGGAAAGAGGGACAACTGTTTTTCTCTCTTACTGTCAAGAGGCAGGCAGTCCACATGGATATCTTTGTGGGATCTGCTGCAAGGTAAAGGGCTTCAGCCTCTGAGGATGGAAATTCTGCTTTGCACATCGGTCAGGTAGCAGTTGTAATGCTTTCAGCTTGCTGTTCCAGGATTATCTGAGTGATCACATCAACAGGAGCTATATGCTAACCACTGCCTCATGACTTTGTAGTACAGCCCAGACTACTCCACCAGCATCATGTAAAACACTGAGAGGCACCTGTTTTATTGGCTGCACCATTGCGTAGGAACCCTGTCATACTCATTGCAGTATTTCCAGACCAGTGCTGTGCACCTTCAGTAAGCTAGGCAGCTTGAAGGGCAGCCCCCAGACCCAGAGATACAGCAACCAGCTCAGGAGTTAGAAGAGGAAGCAACCCACATATCTCCTTTCTTCTAGGCCACTTCTGATGGGCTCATCTGACCCATGGTTCTATTGTACACAACCCATGACAACAATCCACAGTTTAGCATTCCTCTGTCGCTGGCCATCATTTAGCATATTCATTGTTCCAACTCTGAATTAAAAACCACCATAAAACAACATCTCCAAACGGTCTTTATAAATCAAACCATACAACTACAGATAGACTTACTGGCCAACCCTGACTAGCTCTGATCCTCTGAAGACCTGCTTTGAACTGTAGCAGGTCGGCATGGGAGATCAGATCTAGGTTGGCCTCTTGATAGACAACAGCAAGACACTGGTGAAATGGCAGTAGTGGGAGAACAAATCAGTCTTCCTGAGAGATGGCAGCAGGTTCTTGCTCCATACAACCTCTGGGTAGCAATTCTTGTGATCAGTTGGAGTACTAGAGCATTGTGAAACCTTACGAATCCCTTTAGGAACTGATGCAGTCACGATAACAACAGTGATTATTATTGGGGGTAAAAATTGTTTCAGAGATAGTAGGAACTGCAGATGCTGGAGAATCTGAGATAACAAGGTGTAGAACTGGATGAACACAGCAGGTCAAGCAGCATCAGAAGAGCAGGAAAGCTGACGTTTTGGGCC